AGGAATGGAAATTAGCCTCAGAGAGATGAAGAGAACTGCTTATTACCCTGGAGGGCAAGGGGAGTTAACACTAAATCTCTGGCCCCCACTGGGGGTTGGATGGTTGGATACAGTCTTTTATCGGGGAATTGGGGAAGGGGAGGTCCTATTATTATTTTAAAATTTGGCAAGAGCAAGATAAAAAGAGAGAGAAAAAGTGACAAGGCGAGCTGCCATGTCCAGGACTTTAACTGTGATCAGCCACAGGAAAGTCCAGTGCCTTATCCACCATGCCACCTGTTGGCCCCACTTTACATGCTTTTCAAAACAGAGCCCTGAGATGCAAGATGGGCCTAGTGCCACTAGCAAACACTGAGCACTCACGGTCCAGGTGTTGCTGAAAACCAGACACGGAGGAATGGAAAGCAGCCTCAGAGAGATGAAGAGAACTGCTTATTACCCTGGAGGGCAAGGGGAGTTAACACTAAATCTCTGGCCCCCCTGGGGGTGGGAATTGGGGAAGGGGAGGTCTCAGGCTCAATACCAGCCCTAAAACAGCTTCAAAGGGAGGAGGCAGAGAAACAGGAAGACTAATCTACTCCAGGTGCTAATCCATTCCAGGTTTTCAGGGTACTCTGTAGCCCCAGGGAGGGGCAGAAACCTTAGCCAGCTATCAGCCCTGAGTTACTCAGGAATCCAGGGTCTCTCCATATCACAGGCTCTGCCCAAAGACCTAAGTCTGCTACCCAGTGATATTTACACATACTCCCACGTCGAGAATGAGGGTCAGCAGGTGACGAGGTGGCTAAGGCAGCTGTACCTCACACGGCAGACGGCACAGTGCAAGTTCCAGACCCGATGACTTGAGAAACACACTGGGTGTGTGGTCTATGGCGGTTGTTTTCTCACTCTTTTTCTCCCTGTATATCTTCAGCGTGTGCCTATGCCCTCTGGCAAATTAAAAAAAATACCAAAACAAAAAGGGAATGAGGAAACTGAGGACAGAGTGTTTAAGTGATATTCTGAAGGTCACACAGCTGGTAAATTATATTTATCATGTTTGATTGTCGTTTTTTTTTTTTTTAGACTTTTTTTGCTATAGGGCATGTGTGCTCGCCAGAAAGACAGAGAAAGAGAGACAGAAAGTGAGAAATCACCCCCCAGCGGGTATGGCCATGCCGCAATCCCTTCTCCATTCTCCTCTGGGGACCTTGATCTTGGGCATGCGCGCACACGTGCCCAGAGTGAGTTTAAGCCACCTGATCTGGGACGTGAACCGCGGTTAACTACGTGGGAGTCCAGCGACATAGCCATTACGCCAACTGCTGGTCCCCATTTGATTGTCTTTTGTGTTGAATGTTATTTCTAATTTTCACAAGTCTTCACAGTTGGCACCACATCACTGAGCCCAGCAATTTAATTTTTTAAAAATTTGCTAGAAGACACGTGTACTTAGTGGGGAGAGAGAAAGAAGAAAGGTAAGAAAGCACCCCCATAGGAGTTGCTCCCACCGCAATCCCCCTCCATTTTCCTTCAGAATTTTGAATGTGCATACACCTGCGCCCAGTGTGTTTTTCAAGTCACCGGATTCAGGATTCAGGATTCAAACTGGGCAGTCAGCCATGTGGGCTACAGCCATATTAACCACCTCACTCAGCCACATCAACCACCTCACCCAGTCATGTTAACCACCTCACCCAGTCATGTTAACCACCTCACCCAGTCATGTTAACCACCTCACCCAGTCATGTTAACCACCTCACCCAGTCATGTTAACCACCTCACCCAGTCATGTTAACCACCTCACCCAGTCATGTTAACCACCTCACCCAGTCATGTTAACCACCTCACCCAGTCATGTTAACCACCTCACCCAGTCATGTTAACCACCTCACCCAGTCATGTTAACCACCTCACCCAGTCATGTTAACCACCTCACCCAGTCATGTTAACCACCTCACCCAGTCATGTTAACCACCTCACCCAGTCATGTTAACCACCTCACCCAGTCATGTTAACCACCTCACCCAGTCACGTTAACCACCTCACTGAGCCACGTTAACCACCTCATCCAGCCACGTTAACCACCTCACCCAGCCAAGTTAACCACCACTGGCTGGCCCAAGCCAGTGATTTTTTAAGACCCCTCTGTCCAGATAATCTATAAACCTATGAAATAGCAAGGGCAAATGGCATAGCCAGGCACCCAAGAGAAAAAATAAAAGTATTTTCTCTTTCTTTTTTGACTTCACTTCCTTGGCTTTCTCTATCCATCCTCGTTTATGATGAACTTTTTGGTTTATTGTGTATATTTTTTGGTTCACTGTTACACACACAGCCCGAGGTTCCCTGCAGCGGTGGTGGTAGTTGGTGTGGTGGAAGGGGGTTGGTACTGAAGAAGGAAAGGAAAGTCCCTGGACATTTCCAGGCTTCCTGAGACTGCTGGTTAACAACGCGATTGTGGCAAGATATAGAGCGTGGCAGGGTCTGCAAGCGAGCTTCAGAGAGGGCTTGGCGTGAGCTGGGATGGGCGAGAGACTTTGTGGAAGAGCCGGGCGGGGGCAGGAGCAATGCACCTGGAAGGAAGAGCTCTCAGTGTTCCTGGAAGTAAAGGTTCAGAGGCCCAGAGGACAAGGAGGGGATAGGCTGGATTGGAGGGGAGCATCTACATGGCGCAGAAGTGAAGACGTGGCTGAGTCTGCAGGGACACCATGTTAAAGCGGTCTAAGAAGCCAGCTTCGATCTTACTTTCTGAGACCGTGGAGCCACGGAAGGCTTTGGTGAGAACACCGATGACATTACAGTGCCGCTGTAAAGACAGATCTGATATGCACAATAATTACGGAGAGTGAGAGGCGGGGATGGAACAGTAGACTGCACGCGAGTTCCTGGAGAATGGAAAAGGCAGACTAAGAGAAAGATGCTGGGTACGAGGCGTTAGCAAGCCTAGAGAAGATGAAGAGGCCGCCTGAGTCCAATTCAACTCCAGCATGTTTATCAGAGCAAATAACACCCCAGAAGCGGGGATTGAGGAAGTTGTATCTCTTTGGGAAAAGGACTGGGGCAAGAGAATCAAAGTTTATTTCAAGCTTGCTGCCTTGGAAACATGGCAGCAGGTCCGAATGACGACATCTGGCTGACGGCGGGATCCGAAGTTGGCACTAGGAGAGTCGTGGGGGCTCGGGGCCCGAGCCGAGGCCAGGGGAGAGGCAAGGTGCACGGCAGGCCCAGGCCGAGATAAGTCAAGGAAAGACAACATTACAAGGCTTGGAAGGCAGTCATTGCCATCCTGTTCTAGATCCATCTAATTCCAAAAATTACTTACAATAAACTTCTCGAAAAGTTCTTTATGTCAAAACTTTCAGAAGAGAACAAAAAGATTAATAGGAAGCTTGTATAGAAAATATTATTCCATCTGTATTTCTGCCTTTTGGAGGAAAACATTATTATATTACTATAATTGCATTAGATATTCTTATTTATTATAATATTATAATACATGTTAATATTTATTATTATTACATATTGAGGAGTCCTCATCCAAAAACCAGAAGTGTTTGGATTTCAGAAAGTTTCAGATTTTAGGATATTAGCATATAAATAAGAAGATATCTTGGAATGGGTCTCAAGTCTAAACACAAAAATAATTCGTTTCACATTTACCTTATACACATAACCTGAAGGTGATATTATGCAACTTTTTAGTTGTAACATTTTTACTATGACCTGTCACGTGTGATCAGATGTGGAATTTTCCCCATAGCATCATGCTAGTTTCAGATTTTGGGAGCAACAGTTGGTGTAATGGCTACGTGGCTGGACTCCCATGTAGTCGACTGCAGTTCGAGTCCCAGACCCAGTGGCTTAAACCCACACCAATCGTGTGTGCATGTGTGTGCGTGCCCAAGATCCCGAGATGAGAATGGAGGAGAAGGGATTGCGACGTGGTAATATCTCGCTTTCTATTTCTCTGTCTTCTCTGTCTCTCTCTTTCTGGCGAGTGTACCTGGCCTATAGCAAAAACCTCTCAAAAAAAATGTTCCAGATTTTGAAGCACTTAAGAATTTATATTTTTTAAATAGTAATACTCAACCTGTACAATAAACGAGGTTTGGCCTGCACCTCAGCGGGGGAAGAATGTGCTAAGGAAGAGTCTTGGTACTTCACTTCCAAGTTCAGGCCTTTCACCAGCTACTGTCTTACCACCATGTGCCCTGCTTCTCCTCCTGGGACTCCCTGACACAGTGTGGGAATGCCCGAGCTCACAGCGCGTTCCACGGGATGGGAGCCACGTGCATGTCTTAGCTAACAGATGCGAATTCGTGGAAGAAAAGCTATCCGTCACATGAAGGAAGACTGATATAGAGCGCCGATCCCTGCTCATTAAACAAAACGACTACAATAAAACAATAAATACATGGAACCAGCAGGTGGCATGGTGGTGAAGGTGCTGGACACTCCCATATGGCCGACCGTGGTTCGAGTCCTGGTCCTGGTGGCTTGTTTTCTCACTTTCCCTGTCTCTCTCTGGTCAAATTAAAAATAAGTAAATAAATAAAAAAATAAAGTTAAATAAATAGTAATAATAAATAATAATAAACACACAAAGAACCAAGCAAGCAAAACCTCCTAAATGAGAGCTACTCAGAGTTCAGGATTGCTTGTCGCTGGTTTCCAACAAGATAGGTACAGACATTCTTTTTAAATTTCAACTTCTTTTGTACATTCAATTACATATGTCACTTAGCTTGCAAAATGAACATTCCAACATGTATAAATTTAAAACTTTAAGTATAATTTGACACTGACACAATTTTTTTTAAAGAATTCTTTATTTCATTGATTTATCATTTTAATTTGCCACAGGGCACATGCACTCATCAGAGAGAGAGAGACAGAGAGAGAGAGACAGAAAGGGAAGGTGAGAAAGCAAGCCGCCAGGGCCAGGACTTGAACCATGGTCAGCCATGTGGGAGTCTAGCGCTTTAACCTCCATGCCACCTGCTTGTCTCTATTATTTGTTATTTTATTTAAAAGCATTGGTCAGTAACACATTTTTAAAACCTGGTCCTTTACCACAGTAACTTAAAGAATATAAACCATGGTCACCAGCAGTTAGTGTAATGGCTATGTCGCTGGACTCCCACGTAGTCGACCGCAGTTCGCATCCCGGACCCGGTGGCTTAAAACTCACGCCAGGCGTGTGTGCGTGCGTGCCCAGGATCCCGAGAGGAGAATGGAGGAGAAGGGATTGCGGCGTGACCATCCCCCCTGGGGGTGATTTCTCGCTTTCTGTCTCTATGTCTCTCTCTGTCTGGCGAGCGCACGCGCCCTATAGCAAAAACCTCTCAAAAAAAAAAAAGAAAAAGAAAAAAGAAAAAAAAGAATATAAGCCCAGGGAATAATCTCTATTCTGGTCCATTTCCCACCTTGTGTTGCCTGGGCTTCTAATCCCTGCGGCATGTGTCCCTGAACTAAGAAGTGCTGTGCTGTTTGAGGTGGTGCTGTCCTGCTGGGGTGGAGCTGACCCCTTGCAGACAGGTCAGTCTCTGATCATGCATCTGTTCACTTTAAACGCTGAGCCTTACCAAACAGTCCTCCTAAGGAGACCCACCGTCTCCAGCGTGTCCTGCTGACAGCTTTGTGCTGCCGTGTGCGGTAGCTGGTTGTCTATTTGCTGGCCCCGAGGTTTTCTCTCTGCAGTGGGCACTCCCATACTGAAAATATTAGTAATATTGCAATGTCAACTGCTAAGGCAGACATAGTTCATTTAGTAACTGGCATTAGTATCAATAATGCTATGAAATAGGAATTATCATCCCCATCTAAAAATGAAAAGACACTGGCCCCATAGCCTAGTAGTTAAAGAAGCTAGATCTCACATGGCCAACTATGGTTCAAATCCTGACCCTGGTGGCTCGAGAAACACCCCAGGTACATATATGTGCATGCCCCAAATCCTGATAGGATGGAGAAATGGTGAAGGGATTGCAGCACAACCATACTCCACTGAGGGTGCTTTCTCCCTCTTTCTCTCTCCTGGTCTCTCTGTCTCATTTTGGTAAATTCATGCACCTTCTGACAATTAAAAAATCATAAATTAAATTAATTCTTTAAAATGAGAATAGGGCCAGTGGTGAAGGGAGACAGATCCCACATGATGGATCGTGGTTTAAATCTTGGCCCTGGCAGTTTGAAAAACATCCCAGGTTCATGTGTGAGCATGGCCCAAATCCTCACAAAGTGGTGGAACAGAGAAGAGATTGCTGCATGACTGTGTCCCACTGGGGGTGCTTTCTTCCTCTCTGTGTCACTCTGGCAAGTACATATACCCTCTGGCAGTGAGAGAGAGAGAGAGAGAGGAGACAGCTTCGGAGACGTTGAACATTTTACCCAGCTAATGAGTGGTAGAGTAGGGATTTGATCCTATGTGCGTGACCACCTGTGACTCTGCTGTTCTGCGGCAGTAGAGGGAGCTGCTCACTTCTCTCTTTTTTGCAGAAGAAATAGCATCTAGATGGGGATTCTACTGAGAAGAAAATGAACTCCCTTCAAAGGGCGGCAATCGGACTGGAATGACGCTTTCTTTATAACAGTACTAGATGCGCTGTCCAGCGGCCACACGGGATTAACGTGTTGCTCTTTTGTGCGCGGTCCCATACAGGCTGCTGTGAGACAGAGCGCGCGCAGGGCTCTCCTAGAAAATCTTTTTTTTTTTCTTTTTTTGGAGAGGTTTTCGCTATAGGGTGTGTGCACTTGCCAGACAGAGAGAGAGAGACATAGAGACAGAAAGCGAGAAATCACCCCCCAGGGGGGGATAGTTACTCCGCAATCCCTTCTCCTCCATTCTCCTCTCGGGATCTTGGGCACGCACGCACACGCGGCCTGGCGTGAGTTTTAAGCCACCGGGTCCGGGACACGAACCGCGGTCGACTACGTGGGAGTCCAGCGACATAGCCATTACGCTAACTGCTGCTGGTCCCCTGTCCTAGAAAATCTGGAGGAGCGGTTGCCATAGCTGCCCACCAAGATGGAGAGGCCATGGGGAGGCTGTCCACTTTGTTGTGCTCTGGGTTTTGTGTAAGTCTGAGAGAGACCGGTGAACAGAACAGGAGCCCTGGGGCTTATCTTCCAGACTTAGGCCCCTCACCCCCCACTCTTCTACTCTACTCCACTACTACCTTCTCTTCACTAAGAGTCCTCTGGGAACCAGCAGTTGGCGTAATGGCTATGTCACTGGACTCCCACGTAGTCAACCGCAGTTCTAGTCCCAGACCTGGTGGCTTAAACTCATGCTGGGCACATGTGCGTGCATGTCCAAGATTCTGAGAGGAGAATGGAGGAGAAGGGACTGCAGTGTGGCCATCCCCCCTGGGGGGTGATTTCTTGCTTTCTGTCCCTCTGTCTTTCTTACAAGCACACACGCACTATAGCAAAGACCTCTCCAAAAAAAAAAAAAAAAAAAAATAGAGTCCTTTGGTCATAGCCCTGCCTCTCCGAGGGATGTCCGAAAGACCTGAGGGGGACAATGGGGGCCAGAGAGGGCTGCAAAAACAATTGACAAACAGTAAAATACTAGTATACCCACAAAGAAATACTCCCAACTACTAGCAAAAACAAAAAGTGCCCCCCCACACACATACGTGTGTGTGTATTCTTACTTAATCCTTACAACAGCCTTATGAACTAGGCAATATAATTACAGATGAGAAAACCAGGGCTTGGGGCGTTCGTGAACCCAGGTGTGCCTGAGTCAAGCGTTCTCCTAACGTTCTTCTAGGCTGTGGTTAGACCCTGAGGAGGTTTCGTTTGTTTCTTGAAGTACTTTTCTACATTTTCACATTCTGTCACGTACTATCTGCCATCACTTTCCTGCGTAGGGAAGAGGGTGCACAGGAAGATCACTTTAAAGGGCAGCTAAAGGTGGGTTCGCGGCTGAGGTCGTCTCTGCTTTGCCTGCAGGGCCTGGGCTTTCTTCTTTTAATAGAAGGTAACAGAAACCCTCAGTTAGCTGCCCCAATCCCTGCTACATGCCGCAAGGCGCTGCTCAGACGGCTCTTCCTGAAATGTCAGTGAGCCGGATCCTCTAAGTACAGCAAATGTCCTAGCCATGACAATACTATGTCACAGGTGAAGCCTGGGAGGCGTGAGCCAGTTATGGTCATTCTGAGCAGGTTTCACCCCTCACCTCACAGGGAGGGAGATTCAGGGTCTTCTCCTCCCAGTAGGGGTGAGCTATCGTGTGTTTAGGTCGCTCATTAGTGACCCCCAGGGCAGGGATGGTGACTGTCATAAGATGTTGGTAGAATGAATAAATGAGTTCATCAACAGCTCTTAAGGACTGTCTCTCATGTTCTAAAGTCTCCCAGAGATACGCGGGAAGTGAGTTTAAAACTCAGATTCCAAAGCCCCATTTGTCAGAATTCAGATTCCCTAAGTCCCGCGGGGGGCCCGGAAATAGGAACTTGGATGGGCCCCATTGCTGGTTCTCATACAGTCTTTGTAGTTACCTCCTGGTGCAGAACCAACGGCCCCGAAATTGATTGGCTTAAACAGGCAACGTTTTTGGGACCAGCAGTTAGCGTAATGGCTATGTCGCTGGACTCCCACATAGTCAACCGCGGTTCGCGTCCCAGACCCGGTGGCTTAAAACTCACACCGGGCACGTGTGCGTGTGTGCCCAAGATCCTGAGAGGAGAATGGAGAAGAAGGGATTGCGGCATGGCCATCCCCCTTGGGGTGTGATTTCTCGCTTTCCGTCTCTCTGTTTCTCTCTGTCTGGCGAGCGCACATGCCCTATAGCAAAAACCTCTCCAAAAAAAAACAAAAACAAAAACAAAAACAAAACAAAAAACAGGCAACGTTTTTATTACATCTGACAATTTTATGAGCCGGGACTTCAGGCCGGCGTGGCTGGGTGTCCCCCTGTATGCTGCAGGGTGCTGATGGGGGCTGAGGTTTCACTTAGTCCCACACCCGGCCCCTGGGTGGGGCTGAGGAGAAGGCTGGGCTCAGTGCAGCTACCTCCCCGACACCCTCACGTGCGCTAAGAGGGCCCACTTGTTTTGTGAGGCTCCAGGGTCCCAGAGTGAGTGTTCCGGGCCAGGCAGGAGCTTCACGGCCTTTTATGAACCAGCTTCAGAAGTCACAGTGTCACTTCCTTGGTACTCTCAGTTAAGGCAGTCACCACCCTCTCGAATGCAAATGAACTAAAAACACTTCCTACCTCTCCGCGGGAGCGTCCATATTTTAAAAGTACCCTCAGCCCAAGAATTCCACTTTGAGAAATACCGCTATAGAGAAAGATCTCTGTTGAACTGCCTCAGCCTCGATTTGATCCCCACGTTGGCCTTGAGGCCCAATCACAGCGCTGCTTTCCAACATGGTATTCACTCTTCTGCAGGTACATAAGATATTTTAAGGAGTATGTAAATGAACAGTGAAAAGGCTTTTCTGTTTATTTATATTTACAGTTTAAATTATGCATATAGACCATGGTTTTTATGAATATTTCTGAGGACAAGGCTACTTTTTCTTTTCTTTTTAGAGAGAGAGATTTTTGCTATAGGGTGCATGCGCTCACTGGAGAGCGAGAGAGAGACAGAAAGCGAGAAATCACCCCCACAGGGGGCGGGGGATGTCCACGCCACAATCCCTTCTCCTCCATTTTCCTCTCGGGATTTTGGGCACGCATACACAGGAGCCCAGCGTCTAACTGTGGTCGACTACATGGGAATCCAGCAATGTAACCATTATGCCATCTGCTGGTCCCCAAGGCTATCGATGTGGTTTTTTTAAAAAAGATTCTGTTTAGAGATAATAAAGAAACATATTAAATGTATGTTTTTGTCTACTCTCTGTAGCTTTTTATTTATTTATTTTTTGAGATGTTTTTTGCTATAGGGCGCTTGTGCTCGCCAGAAAGACAGAGACAGAGAGATAGAAAGTGAGAAATCACCCCCTAGGGGGGTATGGCCGCGCCGCAATCCCTTCTCCTTCATTCTCCTCTTGGGATCTTGGGCACGCACGCACACGTGCCCGGCATGAGTTTAAGCCACTAGGTCTGGGACTTGAACCGCAGTCAACTACATGGGAGTCCAGCGACATAGCCATTACACTAACTGCTGGTCCCTACTCTCTGTAGCTTAATAACTGCACATCACACTGGGTAATTAATGAAGAATAAAGGCTTATTTCACTCACGATTTGGGAAGGCCAAATTCAGGAACTGCCTCTGGTGAGGGTCTTCATTTTGGCGTGGAGCCTGCAGAGTCCAGAGTGGTGCAGGCGTCACGAGGCAAGGCAGCGAGAGCAGAGCATGCGTGCCCGTGTCTGCTCCTCAGTCGTGGGGGCCCCACTCCGAGAGACCCCCACCTTTGTCGAGCCCTAGTCACTCCCATACCAAAACTAGACTGAGTTTCCACCTTCCCAGCACCATTACGATGGTTCACCGAATTTGAACACATGAAGTTTGGGGGAGGTACAATGGAAGCACAGTCATATACAACGCGCGGTAAAAGATATTGTAAGGAGCATGAATGTGGCACTCAGATATCCAGAAGCCCTGGGATATGGAGCTGATTCACACCCTCAGTTCCCAACTTTTTCCTCAGACATCAATTGCACCATTCTCCCTGCCTGCCTTTTCCCAGCTGTCCTGCCTCTCTTGAAATAATTAGGAATACCTCCATGAAGAAGGGGAAGCCACTGCTCTGCCTAGAAACAGTCTCCCACCCCAACCCCTAGTTTGAGTTCTCTGTCCTGCTTTCACCTTTGTCTTTTTTTGTTCTTGTTGCTTAGAAAGAGATTTTTGCTATAGGGCAAGTGCACATGCCAGAGACACAGAGAGAGAGAAAGAGAGAAATCCCCCCCGACACCCCACACCCCGGGATGGCCATGTGCAATCCCTTCTCCTCCATTCTCTTCTCCCAATTTTGGGGATGCACACATGTGCCTGCCGGCTCCTAGTCAGCCATGTCTTTAAAAGAGTTTTCTTGCCAGGGAAAAGTCATTCCTGATTTTTCCCATCTGATATAGGACTTGTTGTGTAAATAATGACTTTAAATCATCTTCTACAGTTAAACTGAGCTGTTCACAGTTTAAAAGGCCTCGTGCCCCTTTCTCCTAGTAACTGACCTGCTTCAGACTGCCTCTGCCTGAGGGCAAAGAGACAAGGTCCCCCTAAGGGAAGGTTGTGTATTGAGAAAGGATAGACAAATAAAAACGGGTCAGACGGACTTGTGTCTCTGCTGGAGAAGCCTCGGCTGAGCTGTTCTGTGCTCATTCTTCTACAGGGACGGCAAAGCCCTGTGCTTCAGCTGTGGAGCACCTCATGGTTCTCAGCAAGCCTCTTCTGGCCGTCTCTGACTGGCTCTCAGGAGGCTTCTGTCTGTAAAGCCCAGCAGTAGATTACGTCTTTGCTTAGAGCTTTCACGTGCCCCGCAGGGTAGTGCAAGACTAGCTAGAACGGGGTCTTGTTCAAGAAGTCTTGCCTACTGCTATGTCTCTAGGAGTTTCTCCTGTGTTTTGCATCAGTAGTTTTTATAGTATGAGATCTTAGGTTTAGATTCTTGATCCGTTTTGAGTTGATTTTTGTTAATGATGAGACATAGGTGTCCAGTTTCGTCTTTCTGCAGGTGGATAGACAGTTTTTCTAGTACCATTTGCTAAAGAGGTTATCTTTTCCCCACTGGGTTGACTGATGCGCTTTGTCAAACTCAGTTGACTCTATGTTTTTTGGGTTTATTTCTGGGGTCTCTATTTTGTTTCATTGTTCAACATGACTGGTTTTGTGTCAATACTAAGCTCTTTTGATTATCACAGCTTTGTAATGTGTTTTTGGGCTCAGGGAGTGAGATGTCTCCTACTCCACTCTTCTTGTGCAGGATTGCTTTGGCAATGTGGGGGTCTTTTATAATTCCAGAAAAATTCTATGATTATTTTTTCTAAGCTGTGAAGAATATCTCTGGTAATTTGATTGGGATTCCATTAAATATTTAGATTAATCTGGGTAGAATTGACATTTTGAGTATATTAATTCTTCCAATCCAGGAACATGGATTGGACACTTTTTAGTGTCATTTTCAATTTCTTTTTTAAGATTTTCATAGTTTTCCTAGTAGAGGTCTTTGATTTCTTCGGTTAGGTTTATTCCTTGATATTATACTTTTTCTGGTTATTGTAAATGGGGTTGCTTTCTTCAGGCAGTTTTAGCCCACACTCTTACAAGCACCAGTAAAGACTGGTTGCTATGTCCAGCCCTGCTTATGTATGACTGGGAGGGTTTTGCTTTGATTTTGTGGCCCACCTTGCATGGGATAATGAGAATTTTTATTAATTTGAAGCCCACACATTTTGAAGTAGGGAGTAATTTTGGACTTAGCCAAGTAGCAGTATAGCACTCTGCGATGATAGAAGCTACATGTGAGAGCAGGGTTCAGTTCCAGGGTTGACCTGTGTGGAGAGAAGTCATTCTGAGCAAACATGTGACCTTCAGACACATCCCAAAATGGGGTTCTATGGGTGTTATTTGCATAACAATGAAAGCATTAACATACAAATAGCTAGCTACTGACACGCAAAGCAGTACCTCTCTCGAAGGAAGGAAGCCATATGTGTTACTGGGATTTTACTCCAAAAGATCAGAAGAAACCAAATGCCAATCATTTTCACGTCATCAGCTGATTAACAACTGAAAACAACTGACTTTGCATTCCATTTCCTCTTCCTCCATTTTCTGCCCTATAAAATAATACACCTGAGGCTGGTTTGAGGTCAGCTTTCTCAGGCAGAGAAGACAGGCCCCACCCCATCCTTGCCTTCTCATACTTGTATGTCTTCGTGTGCTTGTTTTTATGTTTATTTCTAATTCACAGCACACTCCGCCCCCCCAGAAAAACACGTTCAGTCGAGTGAGTCCAGGCAGACTCATACACACCACCATGCACATGTATGCCCATGTCCCTGGCTATTTGGGCAGGCTCAGGGAAGATCATGGCATGAGATCCTGTTGAGACTACTTGTCTCCCACCCCTCATTTTCTCTCTCATGAAATAAGTGAATAAATACACTTCACAAAGAAAATAATTTAGGGAACCAGCAGAAAGGTGAAGATTTTTAACAGCTTTTTTCCCTAGGTGAGAAGACAGAGATTAACAAGAGAAAAGACCATGGAGGGTAGAGAGTTTTTTTTTTTTTTTTAAAAAAAAAAAAAAAAAAACAAACAAAAAAGAAAATAATTTGGACCAGAGCAAAACTAAAGTGTACACTCCATGCTCTTGAATTTATAAAAATAATTTTTAAAATTATTTTGCAGATTATAAAAGTAATATCTATGCATTGCAGAAAATAATTTTAATTATGAAAATTATATTTGGTAAACACAAGTCCCTTGGGCCAGTTTCATACTCTGGAGATAAATCATTCTTCAAGCAAATCTTTCCTGAAGCCTACTACATGTAACCAAATTGACTAAGGCCTGTGATGGGGTCTATATGGTGGTGTGGACAGAAGTCTGACTACTTTTCCTATTTTTCCAAAATCTTTTCAAAGGGGACTGGGGAAGTCATGCCCACAAACATTAACAGACCATTTATTTTCTATTAACAGGATTCTTCCTACCTCCTGGCCCTGGCATAGTATCTCTGAGATGTATATTTCAACCAATTACAGTATATTCTTGTGCTTATCTCTTCCCAAGACACAGAACTTCCCTTTTCCTTGAGATGTAGATTAAGCCTTTCTTTAACTAAGACACAGATCTTCCCTTCCAATCACCAACCTAAGAATTGTGAAACCCACCTATAACATACAAGCCCCCCCCCTTCTACATGTCCCGCCTTTTTGGGCCAGACTAATAGAAAAATCTCTTCACTAAATGTTGTCTATCAATCTCAAAAACAAATAAAAGGAACCCCTGTATATGATCACCCTGAGAAAGGCATGTATGCCTCTTCTCCAGGCCTAGGTCATTCACGTTTGGCTTGGAAATAAACCACATTGAGTATTAATGATTAATTTTTACAGTTGGTTATTTTTCCGTCGACAGTGGTCTCATGGAGTCAGGGAGGAGATGGGGTGAGACCAAGAGCAGAGCAGTGGTGGGAGGTGTGGGGGACTGGGGGTGGTAGTTGGCACCAATCCGAGGCAATGGGAGGAAGTCCTCTCCTCTGGGCAGCTTATGGGGGTCTTAGATCTTGGAAGTGGAGATGTGGGGGTCAGCAGATGGCCAAGCATGGTTTGACTCCTGGACCTGGTAGCTTGAAACTCAAGCAAGGCACATGTGCATGTGTGCCCAAGATCCCAGGAGGAGGATGGAGGAGAAGGAATTATGGTGTGTCCTTCCCCCCTTGGGGGTAATTCCTCACTCTCCTTCTCTCTTTCTCTCTCTCTGGTGAGCACATGCACCCTAAGACAAAAATCTCGAAAATAAAAATAAATAAATAAATAAATAGAAGAAAAGAAGTAGAGAGGTGAAGAGAGACAACATTCAAGGTAGGGGAGAAAAGAGTAAGAAAAAAATACAGCGAACGACCAGTATGGTGATTGGACCTTGGACCTGGCAGGGACCTGAAGCAGTGCGATAGCTTATTTTCTAGAGCAGGTAACTGATCTCTTTCATCTGGTGTTTGGTTTGTTTTGCAAACAATGACTTAAAATTTTTATTCTGACATCATGAACTTAAAGATAAACAAAGCTGGACACTAGGTAAAGTGGTGAGGACGGATTTTACTCCGTAATCCAGATGGCAAGAGGGAAGAAGGCCCAGCACAACCAAACGAACTGTGTGGGGATAAAAGGCAGGAGACTTTTTAGGGGCTGAAGTGTGCTGGGGGAAGGAGCTAGGGGGCTGGAGGTTGGTCCGTGTGACTGGCCACCTGGCTGTGCTCAGTAGAGCTTAGCTGGAGGAGAAGCACTTCCGCGGAGCCGGTTACAGCAGTGTCCATCAAAGTTAGGCCCCTCCTCCCACACGGAAGTGAGAAAGATCTCCTTGGATGTTTGCATTTCAAAGAGGACAGCCCTGAAAACCACATGGTACCCCACAAATATTTACGACTATTACATGTAGGTTATAAACTACAATAAAAAAGACAATTTGGGTTGGTTAGATGATTTATACCGCAAAGACTCAGCTATAGAATGTATGATCGCGAGCTTCCAAAGTAACTACTCTAAGTGAGGGTTCAAGGACCTCTCTATGCCTACAGCCAGGTGTGGGCTAGAACAAATAGAAAGTTCTCCTGGCAGCAGTGAGCTTTCTTAGGCAGGCATTTCAAAGGGACCATCCTAAGAATACTGCCTTAGACCACTGGAAACCATGCTAGGTAGGGTGTGGTCAACATTTATGCTGGAATGTGGCCAACATTCACGTTAGAGTGCTGGCCAACATTCAGGGAAACACGGATTTTTACCGCTGTAAGATTCCCAAAGACTTGGGAGACAATTGTTTTGGGATAATGAGTGAGGCAGAAGCCACCTTCGATTGTTATGCAGTGAACGGATGGAAGTATAGACAGATTCAGCATAACTAAGCCAAAATAATAGGAGGCTGAAAGTACACAGTTGGGTAGGTAAATGCTATTTTAAAAGGAGACTAGTACACTCAGAATTCAGATGATTTTCCCTTAGTCTACATGAACAAACTCCCTGCTTATAGGAGTCAAATCGTTCATGATTTTGTATCACAGAAGCCGACAAATGCCGTGTGGCATGCACATTCACATGGCCCTTCATCGGCAATGACATCACGCTGTGTCTTGCTTTCAAAGACGACGCCTTCCAGCAGCGCCCTTATGGATCAATTGCGGAGGCTTAGACAGGGCAATAGTAGGTCTCTGGCAGCGAGGATAACAGAACTTAGCAACTGTTGGGTGGTGTACACTTGGAAAGCTGATCGACAATCCCGGTTGTAACACCTTCCTCAACATCAACCATTAGGTTCAAGATATAGAAAGTAAGCTTAGCTGATGTGTTTTTAGAGGATGGCCGATAATAATAAATTTAAACATACTTCAATGAATTGAAACCCAGAATGAAATAAGAACATGAACATGACAAGCTGTCGATTCCCATCCTTTTTAAGCCCATCCTAGGTGAGTCAAAGATTGTGAAGATGCTTCAAAATTTAGGATGGGGGCCATGGAATACAACTCAGTATCCTATTCATAAATGCCCCAAATGCTTCAAGGGCCTTGATGCCTCCTCGTGACTTATGTGTGAAGAACGAGCTTGCTATGGCATGTTGACCAGCAAATGTTTGAATGAGCCCAACCCAAATGTGGTACACATATGCTGAGGAATGAAATAGCTCCAGACAGTTCAATACATTGAGGCATACTAATTTTTAAGTTTTTATTTAAAATATTTTTTTAATCATTTATTTTCTTTGAGATATTTTTGCTCTAGGGCTCATACAGACACTAGAGACAAAGAGGGACAGAGGGAAAGTGAGAAGTCACCCTGCAGGGGGATGGCCACACTGCAATCCCTTCTACCCATTCTCCTCTCTGGATTTTGAGCATACATGCAGATGTGCCTGGAATGAGTTCCAAGCCACCAGGTCTGGGACTCAAACCATGGTCGATCATGTGGGAATCCAGAGCCTTAGCCGCTAGTCCACCTGCTGGTTTAAAGTTTTTATGAATTTATTCCTTCCATGACAAAGGAGGGAGCACCCCCAACAGGGTCTTCACTCTGCCATTTGCCCCCAGCCTCAGCCAATAAGGATCAGGGCCTCAGGCCTAGGCCCCAGGCATGTAGGGGGAGACCTTGGGAAGGGAACCCTGGGCCGGTCCATGTGGCCTCAGCATTGGGTTACAATTGAGCCACCGCTATTGGCTGAAGTACACCATTTCTAAACTGTAGGTTCAGATCCAGGTAAAACAGGAATCAAGTTTTTCTCTTAAATTTAATCTTTTGGCTGCCTCCTGGCAGTCAAAGAATGTAGTAGAAACTATGGACATGATCTATTTCAGAACATTCTTTTTTTTTTCTTTTTCCTTTTCTTAGTGACTCTACCTTTGACTTTTACAATATATACTAAGAGCAAGATATATAGCCTTTATTATTGAGAAATATCCTTCCTTATAAAAACCAGCTTCCTTTTTTTTCATTTTAAAAATGCTTATTGCAAATAAAATTTAGAAAACACATGAAATAGAAAGTCATCCTCTTTCTCTGCTATGCCCTCCCCACCCGCAACCACGGACAACCTTGTGCTGGGTTTCCTTCCTGTGTCCGTTCTATTTGTTTACATCACATGACCTAGTTAATCTGTGGAGAGAGAGCCCTCTCCAGGGGTTGGCTGTAAAGATCAATGGATCCAGCTAATCTAGAAGAAAATAACCGCCCTTGCGTTCGTATGCTGTTTTACTTTACCAAAGCACATTGAACCCATCATCTCGTTTGGAGGGCACATCAGGTGGACTACACCAGTGATCAGAAGCCCAGCATCCAGGGGGATGAAGGAGACCTTGCCCCGAGCCACATGGTTGGGACTGGACAGAGCTGGGGATTCTAGACTTCTTATCTACAGATTTCCCCTTACAACTCTGCCTCTTTCTCATTAAATCCAGTGTCTCTGTGCGGAATTTCTGTTGGAGAGCGAGGCCGTCTCCTTCCTGTGGTTTACTTTGCACCGTACAGCACATTCGTATTTGAGGTGTCTCCCTGAGCTGCCAGCCCGGAACTTTGGCGCTGTCACACGCAGAGCAGCAGCCTCCTTGCCCTGCACGGCTTCCTCCGGCCGAGCAGCTGGGCCTGGTGGCTGGCAGCAGGCGTCAGGGGCGCAGAGCTACCTCTTCAGCCTCCTGCCAGGAGAAGCTCGCCTCCCGCGTCTCTCCAAGTCCCTCCCTCTGCCGACATGGACGTCCTCGTCGCTGTGTCTCTAACGAAGTGCCTTGGGATCTTCCGTGTTCCGACGGGGAACTTTCCTGTAAGTGGCATCTTGGCCATCTGGCTCTCACCTCCCTGCCTGGCTCTTGCCAGATTTCTTCACCATGAAAAGGAGTCTCTGTAGTTGCTCGGGCTTTTAATGTCTGGGTCTTTTGTCTGTTTGGTTCTTTTTGTTTTTGTTTTTGTTTTTAGCCTCTTGACCTATGTCACCTCCTACCTCTACCCCCACCTCTCAATGCCAGTATTTTATGTAAGTCTGTAAAACCAGGAAGACTTAACAATGGGATGAAACCTCAGATTGTGGGAAGGAACTTATAAACCCGAGGGCGGTCAGAGGAGGGTAAAAAGAAAAACGGGAGGCACATAAAAGGAGGAAAGAGACCGTGTAAAGAAAAACCAGCTGGGAGAGAGACCGTGAGGAACTCAGAAATGTCTAAATAGGGCATTTTAGTTAAATAAATAAACAGATATTGTGTGATTTATGCTGATGTTAAAATTAACATCTGATTATTGATCTTTGAAATATGTCTTTCCAACATTTTCAAGCTGACCTTTCTAGGCTAGCCCATGGCACAGGGATTAAGAGGCTGGATCCCACTTGGCCGACTGTGCAGTGTGAGTCCTGAACCCGACGGCTTGAAAAACACGCTGGGCACAGGGGTGCCCAAAGTCCCAAGAGGAAAATGGAAAAGAAGGGATTTGCAGGTCCCTCGCAGGGTGCTGTCTCGCTTTGTCTCCCTTTCTCTCTGCATCTCTCTCTGGCAAAAGTATGTACACTCTACCAAATTAAAGTAATAAATAAATAAATAAAAGCTGATCTTTCTTTAGTAAGAAACGTTTGCCAACTTTATTTTCCAATATCAAGGACTATTCTTAAAATCAAATGTCTTTTCACGTTTTTCCTGAAAATAAAACCAAAACCAAAACAGCAAACCAACACCAGTCTGTTCCTTGCAGTCAAAGCCTGCAGATGCACAGCGGCCACCCTGTCTTTATTCAAGCCCCCTGGGAGTTCTGCTTGGAACCCCCATGCACGTCTGGGTTCCAGCATGATGTGTTTCTGGGTTTTGTTTTCTTTCTCTTCATCCAGTGGAGACCAATGAAGAGCTCATACAGCAGGGAGAAAAACAAGGACAGGTGCAGTTTACGGTGAGTGGAGGAGTAAGTGACCAGTCCAGGTGGCCTGGAAGTTGCTTCACTCGCCACCTTGCCTGAGCTCAGCCCCACCACACCTGTAAGGTGTCTGTCACCCTAGACAGAGCTGTCGCTGAGTCCAAAGCCAGCATCCCTCCAAGCTGGCCCACTCTGCAGGAAAACATGATCAAGACCACATTTGGGTGAGCCCATCGACCACGGAGCCCAGCCCAGCAGACAGTGGTCTCAGCACGGCCAAATGTCGAGGGAAGAGTCCAACACTCAGACCATCCCTCCTGCCCCTAAGCGGCTGAAAGTTTTTTATTGAACTTTACAGGTATTTCCTGTCTATGCTGACGGAGAATTTTCATCTCTTTCCATCTCACTGGTTCCATATGAAAATCATGATGAGAACAATCAGTTAACTTTTGTTCTTACATGCACAACCTCATCAGTGTGACCAAGAGAGAATTGAATAATTTCAGCATTAAGTTCTCCAACTAGTTTTCTGTTTATCATCCTTAGATAACTCACTGCACAAGAGTACATTTTTTTTTTAAAGGTCTGATCTTTCAGTGAAAACTAGTTTCAATGTGATTGTACAAGGGTGGGTCTTCAAAAAGTACATGCAGAATTTCTTATTATAAAAAAACTATCTATGCCTGGATTTCAAAATTATTTTGCTCCAAGATAAAGTGGTACTTAAATTCCATTTTCCATAAACTTTTTGAAATACCCTTGTATTCAGTCCCCATGCCTCTCATTTCTCTTAGCTCATTAGCTCAACTTTGTACTGGGATTTGGAACATCACCTGTTCTGTGTGGGAGAAAACAGAATCCTTGGGTTCCAAAGCCCCCACTTACTTACAGAGTAAAATTGGCAGTGTCCTACCTGAGTTCATTTTCAACCCTGAACCCTTTCCTTCTGGCGAGCTCCATGAGGAAGGCTCTGCGGGTGGTTCCCATTTTCTTCTCCAAAATGTAGAGGACCACACCTTGAAACTTGATGTCATGGGGAGCAGAGGCCATGGAGGAACCCATCTGCCTGGGTCTTTTTTTCCGAGGGCTCAGGGGGGCCATTCTCAGCAGATCCATGGGGAGAGACGGCTGCTGCCTCTGGGGGTGCCATCCAGTGGCTTCTCCAGATGTGAGAGCAGGGAGTTGCCACCCCCTGCATGAAGGGCTCTGACGTCAGCTCACTGGCAGACTCTGAAGGCAGGGCAAGGCTTCATGGGCACTGCCCCGGCAACAGCTTCCTGTCAAGGCTGATGGGGAATTTTCATCTCTGGCCAGCTCACTGGTCCCATATGAGAACAATCAATTCATTTTTGTTCTTACATGCACAACCTTGTGTTTCTCAGAATAACCTGTGAGGAAGATAGGCCGTATGGTTGTCCCCGTGTTCATTCTTTCTTTTTTCCCTAAACACAGTGAGGCCCCCTGTTGTCTTTACTTACGGAATCCTCGCATCCTCCTCCTCTCATAGACCATCAGCACACTGTAGTGGATGTCCGCAGTCTGCATGGCTGTTACCTGTTGCTTGTGGTGGTTTTCACTTCTAGCTGGGATTATTAGTGTCCGTTACACTATCTCACTCCGTGTGTAGGAGAAAAGAGAATCCTTGGGTCAGCTAGGGTGTGCGCTCAGATCTGAGTTTAACATTTGTGCTCTTAACCAAGAAGCCGTCCTCTACACATATCCTCTCCGTAATGAATCTGAGCTCTGCGCACTCACACCGCCCTGTTATTTAGGATCTCCCCTGCTCCCCAAAGCACATGAGCACCTCACCCTACGCCAGGAGAGCAGCTGCCTTCAAGTGTTACAGTCACCTTGCATTCTCAAGCAAGCAAAATCAGAGATGTCCAGGTAGAACCTGTGGAGATTTCAGCTCTCTGCAAGTGAGAGCATTTTAGTAACTACAGCCATCTAAAAGAACAGGTGGCGCTGCCTTGTACAGCAGTACATTACAGGTTACAGGTGCGTGAGCTGAAAACGTTCACACAGGGCTGGCAGCTCTTCATTCAAGCCTCAGGTAAGGAGCTTCCATGCAGTTCTGAGATTCTAGCGTGCTATGACTGCTCACTGAAAATCTGGATTTGTAGATGAGATCATTTCAGCTACTGAAGTGCTGAATGCCTCCTGTCAGAATGTAGTCTTCAGGGGGAACCAGCAGTTAGCGTAATGGCCATGTCGCTGGACTCCCACATAGTTGACCGCGGTTCGCGTCCCGGACCTGGTGGCTTAAACCTCACGCCAGGCACGTGTGCGTGCGTGCCCAAGATCCCGAGAGGAGAATGGAGGAGAAGGGATTGTGGCGTGACCATCCCCCCTGGGGGGTGATTTCTCGCTTTCTATCTCTAATGTCTCTCTCTGTCTGTCTGGCAAGCGCACGTGTCCTGTAGCGAAAATCTCTCCAAAAAAAAAAAAAAAAAGAATGTAGTCTTCGGGCGAGCAGGTGGCGTGGTGGTTAAAGGTGCTGGACTCCCACATTGCCAACTGTGGTTTGAGTCCCAGACCTGGCGGCTTGCTTTCTCAATCCCTCCCCACACTAACCCCCCCTTCACTCTCTAGTGAGCACACATGCCCTATAGAAAATTTAAAAAGAGAATATAATAAAGAAAATTAAATAAGTTATTCTAAAAAGAAAAAGAAGAATGTAGTCTTAACCACAAAGCGGTGCTGTGGTATGGAGAAAGCAAAGGATTCTAGCAAGAGTCTGCAGGCGTGTTCATTCTCGGGGCAGAGCTACCTAATGGTAAAGGGGTGGAACCTGCAAGTAAAGGGAATGAGGAAGTAATGGGTGATCAGGAAAGTCATGATATGCTTTTCTACGCAGAAATGCATCATGATTTCTGACAACCCAGTCATACAGTGATATAGCTAAGAGCTCGGGCCTTAATGTCAGACTTTCCATAAAAATTCCATCTTCAATGCTTTGAAGCTGTTACCTTGAGCAAGTTGCTTAACTTTTTTTTTTTTTTTTTTTGAGAGGTTTTTCACTATAGGGCGCGTGCACTCGCCAGACAGACAGAGAGAGACAGAGAGACGGAAAGCAAGAAATCACCCCCCAGGGGGGATGGTCATGCCACAATCCCTTCTCCTCCATTCTCCTCTCGGGATCTTGGGCACGCACGCACATGCGCCCGGCGTGAATTTTAAGCCACCGGGTCCGGGACGTGAACCGCGGTCGACTACGTGGGAGTCCAGTGACATAGCCATTATGCTAACTGCTGGTCCCACTTTTTTTTTTTTGAAGAGGTTTTTATTTTTGTTTTTGTTTTGCTATAGGGCATGCTGGTCCCACAGAAAGGCAGAGAGAGACAGAAAGACAGAGAGACAGAAAGCGAGAAATCACTCCCTAGAGGGGATGCCATGCTGCAATTCCTTCTCCTCCATTCTCCTCTCAGGATCTTGGGCACGCACACACACGCACCCAGCATGAGTTTAAGCCACCGGGTCCGGGACGTGAACCGCGGTCGACTACGTGGGAGTCCAGCGACATAGCCATTATGCCAACTGCTGGTCCCAGTTGCTTAACTTCTTTAAGCCTCTGTTTTCCCCACCTGTAACATGATGAGTGAGATAGCCCATATGACCTGCTTGAGCAGAGTGCTTGACACAGAGGGAGGGCTCTAAGTAAATTTGTGCTTGTTTCTCAAGGCATCCTAGTTCAATCAATATCAGATTTATAAGTTTTTTTGAAACTATTAAATCACCAAAATATCATATTAATGTTATATCTAGTTTGCTTTGGATCACTGAAATCCAGAAGATTACCAACAAAAAACTGAAATGTGATGATACCTGTCTTGTTATGAGGCTACCGTTTTTCAGCTCCAGATCCACCTTTCTCTGATAGGTACCATGATGTTAGGACTGGGACATGCAACCTGTTTCTGACTTGTCAGCTCTTACATTAGGCTCTGCCAATAGGGGGCTTTAGGGGGAGACTGCAAGGCTGGGGACGAGGGCAAGGATCTGACCCTTTTTTCTGCTGTTGCTACTGCCAGGGTCTTAGTAATGGTTCTTTACTCAGGCAGCAGCATTTGGTTCCATTTTCTAGGTTTCTTTCTTTTTCTTTTTTTTTTCCCCACAATCAGACCCAACGTCATTATGCCCTTTAGTGTCAGACCCGCCGACGGCGAACAGTTCCTGAGTTGTGGGGCGAGGATTAAAGCAAAGCCAAGAAGACAGGATAGAAACGGAGGATTGCCAAGCCATACCGGTCAGCCACGAGTTAAGTTTAGTGCTGTGTTTTATGCAGAAACATTTGGCTTCCTTAACGTGGGACTCAAAAGTCCTTGCTGAGTTTATCAGGTTGTTGTAACAATACTTGGAACATTCTGCACATAACAATTCAGTCACCCAAGGTTAGGTCCAGACAATAACCTTGGTCTTCATCTAGTGGCTGGTCTTACTCTGGTCGTCACGTCCTGCACGTTCCTTCACGTCTCCTCTTTGGCTCCCCACACTTTAGAAACACCAGCACCCTGTCGTTTGATTCAAAGTGGTTGAATATGGGAGATGTATTGCTAAGTGAAATGAACCAGACTTTGAAAGACACACACTGTATATCCCCACACTATGTGTACCAACCATCTACACTCGATGGAAGAAACTGAAAGATCCGAAGATATGGTAGAGAGAATAAGTGTGGATATCAGAGTCTGTAAGGGAGGAGGGTGGATGGTGGAGCGTGGGTGGGAGAGGCAAATGGAAGAAACATTTAGACAAAAGAATGTCAAGTTCTCTGTTGAAAATGATGTATGTGGTAATACTCTTGATTGGTTTGTCACGTACTGCATGCATACTTTGAAAAACCATGTTGTGTGTTATAAAGATGTACAATGATGGGATGCAAATAAATAAAATAATAATTTTTTAAAAAGAAGTATCAACACCAACCAGGCAATGTTGCCTTCTCAAAGATATGAGAAGGATTTTCCTATGACTTTCTATGGTGTCAGAGCAACAGACAGGACCCACTTGTCAAGATCTGTGTTCCAGCTCCACAGGGACTCCTGTTCCAAACTTCCACCGTTCAACAAGCCTAGCTCCATTCTGTTACTGACCACCCCAAGGGGTTGCTCTCTCTCTGTGGGCGAGACCGTAGTTCCTGTCTTTGAGTTCCTTCACTTTTTCTGCTCTCCAACGCTGGTTAAACCAACCCCTTGTCTTAAATTCTCTCTATTGAAATACCTACTGTTCTTTTTTCCTAAATGGCACTTGACAAATAAAACATCTAATGAAAGTGAGAAAGTAGAAAGTGGGGACTCACCTACACTGTTGGAGGCATGCTCTTTCTAAAGGGAAATTTGACTGCAGTGTGAAAAAAAAAAATTTAAGATGTCTAAATCCCTGATCTAACATTTCCTACTTTTAGGACAAACAGACACATAAAGATGTATGTACCAAGATGTTCCACAACTTCATCTGCACAGAGTAGACTTAGTAACAACATCAAAGTGTAACAGAACACTGTGTGGACACCTACGTCATGTCATATGAGAATGCTAAGTAACATGGGTAAATGTTCATAATCAAATAGTTAAAAATCAGCTTATAAAATAGTGGTTACTGTAGGGTACCAGAGAATTTCTAATTTCAACAGAGAAAATTAGAAAGACATATAGAAAGCCTAACATTATATTATTTGATATCACAGTTTGTTTGGGTTTATGGATGATATCTATTTTTGTTTTATGCTTTTTCATGTTTTACAAATTTTCTTTTTTAAAAAATATGCTAGAGAGTGTGTGCATGAGAGCGTGTGAGAGAGAAACACCATTCAGAGGGCTGGGTCACTTCGAGACCTCCATCTTCCAAGTCCTCCAGTCTGCCAGGACGGTGGGCACATGAGCGCATGCTCAGCATGTTTCCAGACTGACTGGGCCAGTGACGCAAACCATGGTTACCATGTGGCTTCCAGCGCCACAGTCCAGTGTGCTACCAACTGTGCACAGCTGTATTTTAGAAATGTTCTACAATAAACACAAATTATGTTTGTAGTCATAACAGTAGCTTACTTATAAAAGCATGACCTTGAGTTGATACCATGTAGCCCTAGTGTAAAGCTGTGATTCGAAGGTAATAGG